GAAGGCATTGGTATATGTCTGCCTAGGGGGTCCCATACTTTCTGGACACCCTGTACACTGGTACATTGGTAAATAGTTTTTTCTTAGTTTTTCATTATAACCAAATTAATGATTATTTCTGCTTATCTAAAATTTTGGTTGTCTATCCATTGAATCTGTGAGTTTTTGGCATGACCCCCCTCCTCACAGGGGCTGTGTTTAGAAAAAGGGTTAGAAATATGTCGCTGGAATTATGAAATTATGATTTTAAAAAAAATGTTATCTGTAATTTCTACATGTTTTTATTCTCATTTTCTGCTAAATCAGCATGCAACCTGGTGGATGGATGCCACATATATCTTGTCATTAAAATACCAAGAAAACAACCTATCAGTTATTTCACATGGCCTCCATTTTGAATTTTTAAATATATTTTGTCATCAAAATGTCTTCCACTCATGGTATTCAATTTGAATTTGTACAACTTTGATGTACAACTTCAAAGTCTATAGCTGACGAACTTTCGGAACTCTGGAGGATAGAACTTCATACAAATCGACTGGTGAGAGTGATATTTATTAGTTTTTGTCTTGTCCTATTATTTTCTGTTAAAAAGCTAGAACGAGATTCATGAAAACTGAAATTTTGAGAATATCCTCATTCCAAAAACTTGGTCAAATGTATCAAGTTTTAATGTCATTTGGTCAATTTTTCAATTACACACTTCCTGTCTGTCTAGATCTACATTTATTATCCCATCGAACGAAGTTCATTTTACGATTTTTGCTGTAACTCAAAATATAGTGGAGCGATTTTGTTCATATTTGGTATGTGAATACTATAAGCATTGCACACTGTCTAAAGACACTTTTGGTAGAAGGCGGCCATTTTGAAAAATGGCCGCAATTGTAACGTATTTTACTATAACTCGAAAAGTAGTGGAGCGATTTTGTTCATATTTGGTATGTGAATACTATAAGCATGGCACACTGTCCTATGAAATTTTTGGTAGAAGGCGGCCATTTTGAAAAAAAAATTTGAAAAATGGCCCCCATTTTAACGTATTTTACTATAACTCGAAAAGTAGTGGAGCGATTTTGTTAATATTTGGTATGTGAAAACTATAAGCATGGCACACTGTCCCTTGACACTTTTGGTAGAAGGCGGCCATTTTGAAAAATGGCCCCCATTTTAATGCATTTTACTATAACTCGAAAAGTAGTGGAGCAATTTTGTTCATATTTGGTATGTGAATACTATAAGCATGGCACACTGTCCTATGACACTTTTGGTAGAAGGCGGCCATTTTGAAAAAAATTTGAAAAATGGCCGCCATTTTAACATATTTTACTATAACTCGAAAAGTAGTAGAGCGATTTTGTTCATATTTGGTATGTGAATACTATAAGCATGGCACACTCTCTATTTCTAATGACACTTTTGGTAGAAGGTGGCCATTTTGAAAAATGGCCGCCATTTTAACGTATTTTACTATAACTCGAAAAGTATTGGAGCGATTTTGTTCATATTTGATATGTGAATACTTTAAGCATGGCACATTGTCTAATTAAACTTTGGGGAGTAGTCGGCCATTTTGAAAAATGGCCACCATTTTTATGTGTGTTATTTTACAAGTATGTGTGCGATTTTTCGAAAATTTTAGAGATGGCTCCTTAAAAGCATATTATTTCTCCTGATGACAACTTGGCTAGTGAGCAACCATTTTGAAAATGGTGGCCTTTCTGGTGTGTTGTTTTATGATATTTGCATTCGTTTGTAAAAATGCCAGCCATTTCTGTTCGATGGGATTCGCTATGCATTGGCATTGGCATTGCCGTTGTTCTGGTTTCTATCATGTCTATCTGTGTCTGAAATTGGGGCACACTTTATAATCACTTCCCTATGAATGATGATGAATTTGTTCCCTTATAGTATGGTTTAGAAGGTATCAATCAAGTTCTGCTATATTGAACACATGCAATATTATATAAATTGTATTGAATATCATGAAAATAAAGTGAATTATTGATAATATTTAAAATAATTATAACATCTGTCTGTGTCATATTTGTTGTTAGCATAATTTTTACAAAATTTGCAATTATATCCCCAGCATGAAAACATTAAATATTGCATTATTAGAGCAAAAGTATGTACCAGGCATAATTCTGTTACAAATGCTAGGTATAACATTTTCAACAAATGAGTATTCTCGATTTGAAGAACGAAGTTCATCACTCTAGCGTTACCCTGCTTTGCACAATTCTTTTACATTATTTAGGCTAGATTTGAATGTCTTCTTTTGAAAAGATTTAATTTGGGTGATATTTCAAATTTTTTCATAAAAAAATAAATTATGAGTGCAGTAAACTGATGAACTTCTTTCTCCAAATCTAGACTAATTGTATTTTATTGAATCGGTCTACTGCACGTTACCCCTGCTTCGAACAATTGTGATATTTTTACATCTTGCAGAATTAAGTGTGTTCTTTTGAATATTCATGATTTAATTTGGGTGATATTTCTAAATTTTTCATTAAAAAATTATGAGCCCAAGAGACTGTTCTCCGTACGGCGACGTCTCCTTTTATTCCAGTCCAGGCATAAATTCTATGCTAAATTTTATATTCGAACACGAATGTATTCACGCCTTCTATAAAATGTAAACAAAGTCAACATTTCACGCGGGGTGTATTCGACAATATTACCCCTGCTTTTCGGTCTATATTTCTTAATTATATTCTCATTCTCAAGCTACTATTTTTACCATTAGCAACCAATTAAAAACTTAAGCCTACAATGGAGTGATTGGATCAATATTTTTATGAATTAGACAATGGTTGCCTTAAGTTAAGCCCCTTCAGTGATAAATGAAGAAATGTAACCTCTTGCAATGATATACAAATGTCATTCATGTACATTATGAATATACTTTTCCATATATTATTGCCATTTATTATTTATGCCCCAGCATTGAACATTCTCAGATTCCAATTTCAATATAATATTCAGTTGAAAATCAAAATTAACGTTATTATTCTATATTTTCTGAGTTTTCTGATTTAGTTACATTTACCAATAGAATTTATATTTTCTATGGTAACCGGGTACTACTAGTAATCGGTATGTTATAATTTGCCTTTTGGGTCACTGTACTCAGTGACCGGTATCATTGACCTCCTGTGGAATGTATTTGACAAGTACATGTAGTTGCTCACTCTAGAATAGACATCAGGAGACGGTAAAGAGCCGATTAAATACAAATAATCGCGCGTGTTATGCAGTTTTAAGGTATGTACAGTACCTATATGATATAGACTTTCTTTTAATCTCGTTGGTCAAGCGATTTACCAAGAACAAATCGGTTGAAGAGCTCACTAAACTCGAATGTCAGAAGGAAAATCGCCATTCAGCTGATTCCAAATCGAGTCAGCCCCGATAAGGACAGCTCATTTCAACTTAATGTCCAGCGAATCTGTCTAGTATAGATCCAGACACACTTATATGAAGGGACATAGACCACTCACGTCATAACTTATAAAGTTAGACCTTGAAATCTGAAAATACATGTTACAAGTCGAAAACAACAGTTCAAACTGCCTACCGAACTAGTGGTTTTTATTCGATTGTTTCAAGGGGTCTTCAAAATTCTCGCAATGAAAGTTCAAATTACCCTACTTATATTGAAGTTGCGTGATCGAAACCTATTTAATTCGTAAAAAGAAACTATACATTATGTCTCTGCCAAGTATAAAGTGTAAATATTCTGTAGTTTTTACAGGATTAGAATATCTATTCGGGAAGTGGAGAATTTGGACGTATGCCGAGAATTTCTAATCACCGGCGCGTAGTGATAATCGTGACGTCATATTTTGGTTTGGCCGCCCAGCTGTATGGAGAATTAGAGAACGTTCTATATTGGCTATGCTGCATTCTGATTGGTTGAGAAATTCGAATAGAGCACGGTCATGTTTGAATACAACGTACTGAACGCATAGATACGTTTTTATTGACAGTATGCTTTGACTTTAACACAATCACGTATCCATGCTTTGTCACAAAGATAATTGAGTGTGTGAGGACCAGATGACGTGGATTACATAATTATTTCTGATATTTAACTTATTTGCAAGTAATGTGCTGTGAGGTCCAAAATGGGAAAGCCATGATTAAAGCTTGGTTAAATTGCAGGATCATAACGTCAAGTTTTGAGGGTGTATTCACATTAATTATTAATTATGATGTGTTACTTGGATTAATGCAGATGATATCTCATGGATATATCAATAAACAAAGATAGTAAACCTTCCAAATGCAATTCGAAAACGTATTTATCAATGTACCTATGTTAACCCCGATTTCCTCTAGATTTTTATAATAAACTCCCGATTTTCTCCGATTATCCTAATCAATTCCGATTTTTTCCTGATTATTTTTGTAAACCCCGATTTCCTCCCGATTTTCATTGTAAACTCGATTTTCTCCCGATTATTTCTGTAAACCCCGATTTCCTCCCGATTTCTCCCGATGATCCTAAAAATCCCGATTTCTCCCGATTTTTTAATAGAAATACTGATTTTCTCCAAATTTTCACCCATTTTTCTTAACAAATGCCGAGTTCTCCCGATATTTAAAACGAAAATATCCAGATTTTTATTTTATTTTTGCTACTTGTACTACCACTTACTTTGTGACTTGATTAATTAATCAATTGATTTGATTTTATCATTTTGAAATCATTGATACTTATTTGATATCATTGATATTCATATCAATATTATAAAGAATCTAATAGTAATTGTTACTACTACTCCAACTAATAGTTGACGCTATTATATTTTGAGTTTTGCAATTTTGAAGTTTCACGGCTATTATGTATTTTACTAATTTTCAGTTTTTTAAACTTCGCGGCATTGTAAGAATACAGTAACCTCCTACCTTTTATCGCCCAACACTGGACTAAAATTTGTTCAACATTTGAGTGAAATAAAGGTAAAGAGCTTCAGTAATATATGACTTACTGCAAATGTATGGATCTTCGTCCGATCCATCAAGGCAATCTATTACACCGTCACAGCCCTGAAAAAAGACAACTGTTATATTCACACATACATGTACCAAGGCAATACATAGTAATTCCTAGTCAGACCAAAGCATACGGCTCTGTATGCAAAATCAGTAATTTAAAATAAAACGGCAATTTGGCCAAAATTGTGATCACGACGATTCAAAGTAAAATTCAATAATTATTAAATCCACTAGTGGCACTTAAGCATAGATTAAATTCCAAACACCTGGAAAAAATCTACTCTTTTTTATCCTGTCTCGTCTGGACTGTTGTGATATCATTTATGACGCTGCTCCAGCTACCAGCCTAGACCAATTAGACAAGCTACATTATGGCAGCTGTTTTTTGTTCTGGTGGTATGCAAGGACCAAGCACTGAAAAAAACCTTGAAATATTAAATTGGGATACTCTTCAAAATAGACGGGATGAACATAAATTGCGCGTTATGTTCAAGATTCATAACAATTCGGTACCATCTTACGTAAAACGGATATAAATCACCTCAGACGCGAGTTCTTAGAACAACCAACGACTACAAATTACCAGGCTCAATTAGTAAAAAAAATGGAAACGGGAACAGTTTGCTCAATGATAACCTTGTGGAACTGTCTTCCTAGAGACCATAAGGAAAGGAACAGCTTCTAACTTTTAAAAAACAACAACTAAACGATCACCTCACTAAAACACCGAACCTACAATTTCAACCTCCTACTTACAGAATCTTGATAGAAAAGAAGAAATTGTACTAAATAAGTTAAGGGTAAATCGATATTTTAAATCCGATCTTTTTGGCCATAATTTCTCTTTCATTAACGATCCTTTTTGTGACTGTGGAGCTCGAGAGACAGCACAACATAAACTCTTGTCCTGCCCTCTGAGAGAAACAAATGCGCTAGCGGTGGTTAAACATGAACTAAACTTAGATGTAACTAAATACAAAACATTAAAAAATAAGACAAATTTCCTACTTTATGGCGACAAGGATCTGACAAATGAAAACAATTCCAAAATCTTTCATTAAACACAATTAAATTAAATCGATAACAGTAATTCAAATCCAGGGCACCAACGGGGGTACAGACTGGTAGAAAAACAGATTGTATCTAAAGTCTATATTTTCTCTTATACTAACTATGACTATGTAATTATATTGTAATGTAAATTCACTCAAAGCGGCAGTATATATGCCTTTCTGGGCGATTACGCCGTGAATAACAATGTAAATTTATTTATGATATTAAGAAATAAAGAGTATTTATTATAAAAAAACGACGATTCAATTAGCTGGCATGTAGGTACATTTGTCATTTTTTGCAACGATAACATGCCATTTCTTCTAAAATGTGTTTATTTGTGATTTGGGCTAACTGCACTTGCGGATGGGGGGAGGGGACAGGGCCCGCCCCTACCCCAGTAATCTCAGTAGGCCAAACAAATTTGGGCCAAGAAAAATTGTTGTCCAAAAAGTTATTATGGCCTCGATTAGTCGGCCTTTTCGGGCATTACTGGGCCTTATTTATTAATTTTTCGCCAAAGATTTATTTCAGACTTAAAATTTGCAACCCTACCCAGGTGAGTTTCCAGATCCGCCCCTAATCTGAAGGGAAATTTCGAGTCAAATGGTGCATCAATTTTGGTTTCATCTTTGTGAATTTCAAATTCTGGCGGCAGAAAGAGGGGGCAGTGTCACAATTGACCGATTATTTCAAAAAGTAGATATTTGACCCCAATTGAGTTACAGTTTGAAAAGGAAGCCAAGGCATTGCTTTATAGGAACCTCAAAAAGGCCAAATTGGGCAAAAACTACTCGTTCGTGTAATTATAATTCGAAATAAAAAATAAGGCGTTTGCCCTTTTGCTCATTAACTAGTATGGTGACATGAACTGGGAGGTGTTTTGCCTAAGGGGAAACATTGAATTTAAGTTCGGCTTATTTCAGAATAAAGTTGGCAAATTTGTCAACCGATTACTACCGAACATTATTCGGATCATTCCGGAATTTCTGCCCTACATTTTTTGACATACCTTATAATTACACATTGGCATTAATCATTAGGCTTAAAATGACAGATCTTGAAGCGGAATATTTTGAAAATATGAGAAGGCCAATAAATTACGCATTCGTGGTTATTTTAACGCTATTGAAAAATACTTATTTGCTTTCTTGACGGAAAACCAATTTTAGGCCAAGGTATCAAAAGTGAGCAATACATTTTCAAAGTGTTCAATGTTTGGTTTAAAGGCCTAAAATTGTTTTCCTGTTTTCCGCCACTGCTCTTTACAATACAAAAGGGGTTGGTTTAGCATGGGAAAAATAGTTGGGGGTTCGAGCCCCCCCCCCCGCTCTTTACAAAGAGCTGGTTACAGGCATGCCTATGAGTTTATAACTCACCTGAAGACCATGGATGCATTCGCTAGATTCCAAGCAGCGGAGAAACCCTTCGGGACATGTATCGGCTGGAAATGAAAATAAAATAAAACCCCATTATTAAATGACACGTATGAGATATTTTGTATTCTTAGTAGGTCTCAATATAGACCTGTAGCAGGAAGGCCAACATTTGGAAGTTTAATTCCCAATCTTAGGATAAATCATATAGAAAAATGGGCCGTACTTTGATGTATTACATACCTAGCGAAGCATTTGTATGGAAGTCAATGGGAAAGTTAGCGAGCTATATCCACCGATATTGCCCGATTACCCCGATATAGCCCGCTTACCTCGTTTTGATATTAGATTTCTTTAATAACCATGATAATATCATGACGTCACGTCATTGATACAAAGTAACCATGGGAACAAAGGCATGTAATACATCAGTTATGTCACTATGACGTGAAATATGCCTTCGTTCTTGCCCAAATATAGAGCCTCCCAAGGTCGGCCTATATTGCAGAAGCACTCCATGCCGAAAACACATTGCACCCGTGCCATACGTGCTAAGATGTGTAGCACGTGCTAAGATGTGTAGCACGTGTTTGAATTTCTATTGAACCCGGGTTTGAGGTTCGAAATCCAAACAATAGACGCTCCTAACCCGTGCTGTAAATCCAACCAATCAGAGCGCTCCTAGCCCGTGCTCTTTTTGGGAGCAATTATTATGGCATACTGACTGGCCGAAATTCAATATTGTTGTACCCTCACGTGGTAAACTCAGTGGAGGTTTTGTACTCAGTTTGTAGTCAAGATAGCAGATTTGAAGGTAAGAAGTTGCTCAAAGTAAACTAGACTAAACGAGGATCAAACATGATAATGTTTTTGACAGATACATTCCACATAAACTCGTGAATTTCCCGTAATAGTGAGCAGATCTCTCTATTATCGCCCATTTCAGTGTTTTATTGCGTAAAATCAAAAGATCATTTTGCAATAATAATTGAAAAATATATTCCTATTGTACATAAATGACATTTGTTTAACCTGCAAAAAGATAACATCGCTTACAAATTCTTAAATTAAAAGAGGACACAGGCTTACTGCACAAAAAACTAAGAAGACTAGAGTCCATTTCACTGCTTCAGTTCGTCAGTAGAACGGCAAAAATAAGAAATTGGGAGACTATTGTGCAATAATATATGGAAAATTATATTCATAATGTACATGAATGACATTTGTATATCTTGGATTGCTTCTAGTTTGGCTTATAAAGTGTGTGGCCTCTTATATTTGGATGTTTCTCTGCCATGATTAACATGGCTGAAATTCTTCAAATTACAAGACGGCACAGGCTTATTGCACAAAAAACTAAAAAATCTGAAATATACAAATGTCATTCGTGTACATTATGAATATACTTTTCCATATATTATTGCAAAATAGTCTCCCAATTTCTTATTTTTGCCGTTCTACTGACGCAATGAAACAGTGAAATGGACTCTAAATGAATCTAAAAGTTCACGTTTCAATGTACGTGAGTACCATGTTCATGTATAGAAGTCTAGATTCACATATTTAAGGTAGTTAATCATTCTATGAAATTTACAATGCTTCATGTCACAGTCATATCGTGCTTTAACATTACCACGGTCGTGACAAGCCTTGCAATATAGTATAGCATTGTCACGATTATACCAGGCTTTCGCGATAACACTACCACGGCCATGGCAAGATCCTTGCGAAACTTAAAAACACTTAATAACCTGGTGACGGTTGTGCCAGGCATAAGTCTTGCAATAGATAGCATGTATGCTTCTCTGCCATAGTATTTTCAAAAAGATACTTTGTAACATGGCTGAAATTCATTATAAGAGGGCACAGGCTTATTGCACAAAACAGAACTAAATAATCTGAAATATACAAATGTCATTCATGTACAATATGAATATACTTTTCCAAATATTATTGCACAATGGTCTCCTGATTTCATATTTTTGGGGTTCTACTGACGAAATAAAACTGAAATGGGCTGTAGTTAACTTACATCTTAACTTATGTTTAAGCTTATCTCCAAAATGTGGAGTTGATCAGCCAGCCACTCAGCAAGCCCGCCATCCAGCCACCCAGCCACCCAGCAAGCCAGCCAGCAAGCCCGCCATCCAGCCACCCAGCAAGCCACTTACTCAGTCACTTAGTAAGTCACTCACTTCCTTAAAGTCATTCTCTCACTCTCATTCAGAAGTTCACTTACTCATTCACTCTCTCAATCAGTCTCTCTATGTGAGGGTTCATATGTTTGAATATTGACTAAAATAATCTTATTTCATTTGGAATTAATCACAATTGCTGTTTTCTACTTTTTGAGTTTAAAAAGGGAATGTAGTATATATCATTTAGTGTTTTAGAGATCTCTTAATTTCAACAAATGAATTTATTAATAGAGAAACATGTGAATCCATTGAGGATTGCATCAAAATACCAAACATACATACTCAAAAATAGCAAGAGCTGCTCAAATGTTTTAGATCTAAATCATGAACCCCATTTTGTACTTTCAGAAGATGAATTTATGTCTGAGATAAGAAGTTAAAGACGAGGAAATGTACTATTATGTGAGTATTAAAAATATATCCATTCTGAATTTTCCTACATTTCCAAGAGTTTTCATAAGCAATGATTCTTATTAATCACAACCTTAATTCTATTGATTTAATGTACTCTTTGGGTGTGCCTTAGTCCTTAATGCGTCTCCCTATCTTTTGAATGTATTGTTAGAAAGATATTCTGTGTGCAATGATGATGTGGAAATGATGACTGCATAAGGTTGCATAGATTCTTGGGAAGATGTTCTCAGCCTGGCAACCTAACACTATTCAGTACATCTTTTGAAACTAAAAAAATTGAGGAAGCTGTAAATGTGATGTTGATTTTTTTTTATTAATCAGATGGTTTCCATAAAGTCATGTTTTTTTAAGTCATGTTTTTAATTGATCTGCATTTGTAACCATTAATTAAAGACCAACAGTTTCTTCTTTTTAATGGCATATTTGAATTCTATATGTTGTTTTCTATCAATAGAGCTAGCTTCATTTACTTTTACTCAAATTCTAAAGATTTTTAAGTCTTCTGAAAAAGCTCAAGCTAAATCCCCATTTACACAATGTTGAAAAACCTTTAAAGATTAAAAATTCATTTACTCTTATAAGTGTCACAATTTTAATAATAAATGACAATCCATATGTCAATAGGTTCATATGATTAGATTCAACTGGCAGTGATCTCCCCAGCATAAAGCAAGATGGGCGCAGCAACCACCTGAGATTTTGAAAATATGCTTGCACCCACCTGAAAATCAGTCTGCACCCACCTAAAAATGAAAAAAATCATTGGCATATTTCCACAAATTTTTGTCTAATTTGTAAAAATGAGAGTTTTTGCACCCACCTGAGAAAAAATGCTGAGGAGATCACTTAATGGTGTTTTAAGTTGATCCAAATGGAAATCAAGAAATTAAGTGACTCTTGTAATACATTTACATGTATTCTGGACCTACCAACACCCATGCTGCCATCTATATTTCAATTTATATTGAAAACACAGCTACAAGCCCTTATGAGCCCCTCCCCCTACTCCACATACATACCTCCCCACAATGTTTTGTTAAAGCACAGGGTACTTTTTACTGAGATTAATTATTCATTGGAGATGCAAATATACTCTAAGGCATTCAGTGATCTCCCCAGCATTATTTTTCAAGCGGGGGGGGAGGGTTATCAAGTGTTACTGAGTTTATTTATCAACTCACAAATTTGTGTAAAGGATGAGTCTAGATATATGCCCTTTTGGTCCCTCAGTTAAATGTATGTGATAGGTATATTTACTATTTCATGAGTATTAATGCAAAATAAACCCCCTGCTGAGAGTCAAAATAAGTAACAGAAAACAATCAATAATTATCATAGAAAAAACACCAATGGCAACCTGTATGGTATATAAAATAGAAATAACTTAAAGACCATGAAGAATTAAAAAGAAAATCTTTTTGTTTTAAATATATGTAAGGATTTAATTCTTTTTCAATTTTTTTGAATTTTCCGCCATTTTAATTTGAAGGGGGAAAAACAAGATAGCTGCCATTTGATGTAAGAAATATCAGAACAAAAGCAGCTTCACTTTCACAATGAGCAATGGCATTTTCACAATGAGCACAGTTTTCTGGTTTAGGTTTATGTTTAGACATATAACTCCCCTATCCATTCAATCCTCCTCTGTTCAATTTTGATTGTATTTTATATGAGTTTTACTTTAATAAACCAGCAATGACATTATTTTTGTGAGAATATAAGTTTTGTCAAAATAATCCCAAAATTGAGCTTTGTACAATTTAGAAGCATCAATAATGCCAACAAGTAATTTGAACATTCATGTCATTAAATTCTGTTCAATTTCCCTCTGATTTGTTGCCATGATGACATGTTATGACATCATCCTGAAACACTTAACCAGTCTTTACCAAAGCTTTTAAACACTTGTTGTTCAATCAGGATCAATTATTTTTCATTAGAGGTCCAAACAAGATGTATAATGTTTTATTTCCAGACTGCATCAAGAGAGATGATAGTGTATGGATCAGGGCTTGACTCTATACGTGAGAATGGGTAGAGCTACTATCAGCAAGCACATCTAACACCAGAGGAGCCAACCTTGCCTCAAAGATAATTGCCAGGTATTTTACAAAGATCTGTTATCACTGGTGATCCACTCGGAACGTCAAAGGTACAATTTTTCTTTTTTCCTTATTTCTATATTGTAGGCAGAATTCCCACAACATTTTATCACAATGTATATCACAATCATATGTTTAAGAAAGAAGACAACAGAATCGTCGATTTAATTCCTCACTTAAATTACAGAAACAATATTTCAAAAAACAGTTAAGATCTGCACTTTTAACCCATATCATTTCTGTAACTTAAGTGAGGAATTAAATCGACGATTCTATTGTCTTCTGATCTATTTTTTCGCAAACATGTACCTTTTATAAAACATATGATACTGAAAAAATGTCGTGGTGATTCTG